GGTGTGGTGATAGAGTTCAGCCTGCAATGCTTTACCGCAGACTTTCATGGATGCGTATGGTATAAAGTAAGCCCAGGCGGTGGCTTCATATCCCTGGGTGGTATGTGCAATCGTGATACGTTTGACGGGTGTTTGTTGCTTCTCTAGTCACTGTATTGTCAGTCTTAGTGTGATGGATGCGCATGTGATCGACCAGACGGATGCGTGATATAGAGGTGCGGTCTCAACGTGGGACCGAACCCGCATAGTAAGGGCAGTTTTGACAGCGATGATGACGTCGGTGGAGGTTGTGTTGGGTGGGAGGGCGTCTGGAATGTTCTCACCGCGAGTGCAGATGACGCTAAACCTCGTTGCCGCCATCGAAGAGGGGCTGATGGTATTGGCAGTGGAGGTGGTAGTGGACGACGGAACATCGGGACTTCGGTCGCCACTGCCGGTGGTATTGGTAGTCGTCGTCGTCGTCGTTGTCACTATCGAACTTTTAGGGGTGGGGCGGATGTGCTTCCTGAGATGGTATACAGTGCGCATTGGGTTTGAAGACATCCGATGAGGCCGCTCCGCCCGCGAAGTGTCCGCCGGAAGAGTGGACAAAATGGAAAAGTTGGCTGCTGGAATTGTTGGTCCGCGAAATCTTCGGGGCTGTAACATGGATTATGCTGCAACAACATTAAAACATTTCAGTCATACCAGGATGCCCGGTTTCCAATGCACACCACAGGTTTGAAATGCCAACTTAATTATTGCTACTTTTCCCTTTACTTCGATGCTTCTATAAATCCGGGCATATGTTCTAAAAAGCGCTTTTTGTCCTAATTTTGTAGTAAATTGTCCCATGTTTAAAATTTCTACCCAAAGAAACTCTTTTTCAATTCCCGACTAGTTTTGAACTCGGCCTATCTCTATCAACTGCAAAGTTCACATTTTAAAAAAATCAAGCATTTCTTTGTGCTATTGAGAAGACACAGTGTAGGACCCTTACAATTTCAAATTGAATACGGACCATAGTGTATACTTTATAAGAAGCAACAACAACAACCGTACTGATATAATGCTATTTGAATGACCATATCACGGTCATAAAAGACCTCCTTATTGTAAACTTTTTTGGAACTGAATGATATCATCTATTTAAGCACAAAGACGCAATCTGCTAAAAAAATCAGTACAATAAAGGCAACGGTAGGCTGGTGGACCCCAATTAGCTGTCGATAGACTATGGATCATGTCCTCCAGTCAGACCAAGATACTCGCCAGGAGGACCGATGTGGCTCGTCAGTTGACAACCTTCCAAGTCACGACTCTTAGCGCGTCGGCAGGAGGACAATGCGACAAAGATAGGGAATATTGGAGTGGCCATTTCTAGCTCATTGGCCGTTATTAGTCTGTTCTTCTCTACCCTAGTTAATTACCCGATCGCAATCGGCTAACAAGGCAGAAACCGCTATACCAGTCTTTGTCGGTAATATCCCTGTGTCTATACTAGTAGTCTCTGTGCGGTTGCGTACGGAACTCTAGATCGAGATCCAAGGCACGACGGAGCGAGTATGTCCCGTAGCGCGATCGGTGAGTGTCCCTCTATCGTGCTGAGGAGGGCGCTGATGAGCCACGTGGGTGGATTCCCCGACGACGACGACGACGACGACGACGACGACGACGACGACGACGACGACGACGACGACGACGACGACGACGACGACGACGACGACCACGACCACGACCACGACCACGACGACGACGACCACGACGACGACGACGACCACGACCACGACCACGACGACGACGACCACGACGACGACGACGACCACAGTTCGACCGTCGGTTTCGACGATGTCCATCGAGTGCTCCACAGAAGGGTGGGTGCAGGAATGGTGACTTGTGCGTGAATTACTTCATGGTGATAGTAGACCTGCATAGCATCTACCGCGATCTCCCCTCCACAACCTGGGCCCAGTGTCATGACCAAGGTCATCTGCAACCCTGCGCGTACACACGCCGACAGATGGGGCGTACAGTGAGTCAACAACAGGCCCCATCACTAATAGGGATCGCGGATCAGCTCAAAATCAACACGGAATTGAGTAACGGTAGGGTTAAGGACCCCAGTTAGCTGTCGGTGGACTGTGGATGATGTGCTGATGCATGTGCTTGCGAAATCTAGTTAATTACTGATGACTTGCGGTTGTATCCAAGAGCGGAAAAATAAAAAACGAAGGTCAACTTGGCATAAATTGAGGGATAAGAGAAATGTCTGCCGGGGGATAGACTCAGTTGTTCGATAGTCAAGATGGAACGCCAATGGAATATCCAGCTAGGTACCGCAGTCATCATTCTACTTCCTTTTGCCACCCGCCGTCTTCTGTGTTTTCCTGCATCCCGTCAGCTTACTGGCTGGGCCGACCCGTATACCCCCCCCCGTTACCACCGTTCCCGTACGATAAGATCCACACTTAGTCCGGTACTCTGCCCTACTGCTGCGATGATTAAAAAGATGTTTCTGCGCATGCTATCTATAAAAGATGTCTGGATTTATAAAGGTAACGAAAGTCAATGGAAAAACTGAATACTAACTAAGCAGTCAATTTCAATTAATGTGATTTTCGCGGATGGCCTTGAAAACGCGGTCTCGAAGGCCAGCATCCTTGCGCGACTGAAGTAGCTTGAGACTATGCTTCATGCTAACCAATATTACAATCCCACCCAGGTAATCCTACCCCAACCGAGGTCATATTTCATTTAATGTTTCACAGGTTACGTCACGTGCTGACGACTGGACATCAGTCCGGTGCGGCCGTCATCGGTGAGAGCGCCTTACAGACGGGTCATGTGACAAGTGCACCATGGGCTCACCATGCAGACGGTTTCGTGCAGAGCTCTCTTCCGTCAGCCCTTCACACTTTGTGCAGTGTCCTGCGTTGAGGAGAGGTTGGTAAGACAGGATTTTTTTGCAGCGCGGAATGCATGCAATTCCGCTCCAACCCCCCCCCCCCGCCCTCTGTGGTTGAGGCATTACGGACTGGTGACGACGTAGAAATCAGGAGCAGCCATTCCCACATATGTACCTTCGCTGTGTTCGCAAAGCTTGTTGGTCATGTGACTGCCCGCAAGGGTCATATAGATGCCGAGTCCCAGCACAAATGGGAATCCGGTCCGCCGTCAGCAAAGAGAGGCATTCGCCTATCGTACCTTGTGTGGAATCGCCCTCCGTAGAGGGCAAAAAGACGTCCAACCAAGTTTCATCAAACCCAATTAAAGACGGCTAATAAGCCAGAAATGGCCATTCCAGTCTCCCTTGTCTTTGTCGGTAATATCATTATGCCTATATCATGCGCCGCTGTACGGCTGCTGGTTGGGCTTTAGGGAGAGCCTATAAGGCACAACGGAACTAGTGAGTTCCGTAGGAACGATCGATGAGCGCCCCCTACCATTTTATATTCCCGACCGAAACCGACAGGACAACGGGCCCGTGGCTCAGTGGTTAGAGGCGTTGAACTTCTAAATAACAGGTCGCGAGTTCGGGCCTCGGGTGTTGCACACTTCGGGGTTGGGTATGGCTGACTGACGACGGTTAATAAGCCAGAAATGGCTATTCCAGTCACCCTTGTCTTTGTCAGTAATACCATCCGGTCAATTAAGGATTATCCGCTCATTTCAATCCTGCGTCGGTGGACCAAGTGAGGTGCGAATGAGCCTGTGTAAGTCTCCTTAAACCGATAGACCGCAGGAAAGCCCTCTCTTTTCGACCATAAAGACTTCAATGTGAGGTACAGCGAACATATCGTCACACACAGTCCTTCATAATAAATTCTCTGTTAACTAAGGCGTGGATGAGATTTCCCTTCTGGTTCAGGGTGCCCTATGCGGATAATGGAGTACCTACAAGGACAAGGGAGACCGGGATGGCCATTTTTGGATTGTTGACCGTCGTCCGCCAGTCATATCCAACCCCCCTGTGTAGACCACCCGTTGCTCTACCCCGCGACCTTTTGGTTAGAAGTCCATCGCTGACGGAGTCCGAGAAAGAACCTCAAGGCACAACGGGACGAGTGAGTTCCGTGGCGCGATCGGTGAGCGCCCATCAACAGTACCTGATCGCGACTTTGGGGTTGGGTATGACCGGCTGACGACTGCTTATAAGGTAGAAATGGACACTCTAGTCTCTCTTGTCTTGGTCGGTAGTGTTACTCCGCATATGTGTATATTTATACATGTAGAAAAGCATTAAGGACAAAGAAAAGGGACACTGGAACGTCCATTTCTGGCATTTTATCTGTCATCAGCCAGTCACACAACAGACGAGTGAGTTCCGTAACACGACCGGCACGCAACTCCCCCTATGGTAGTTGTATATGTTGTATAGTTGTATTTGTACATACATATATATTGAAAATAAGTAAGATTCTTTGGGAAGGGAATAAACTTTAATGAGTAAATTTTCGAGTCTGGATCCCCAGCTCGTCGTCAGACTTTTGGGCAATGTACAAAAACAGTTAACTATTTAACCGTGTCAAACAAATGATTCTATGGTTGGTCGAAGTCTGCGCCAATGCGCGTCAACGATTTCGTCATCCCTTCGGCATTGGCTGCGCTCGCTTCCATTTGTCCTTGAGAAATTTGTATGTGGCATCTAAATCGATATGCCGATTGATGCATGCCTCATCTGAGTGCATTGCTTCCAGGAATTCGCGGCCTTTCCTTATTGGGCAGGCGCCAACAATGCGGGTGTTCTCCCATGCAAATTTGTGTCCAGTGTCCGGTGTGTGCATAGCCACCTGGGATAAATGATCTCGTCTCCTCACCGCTAACTGATGCTCATGTAAGCGGGTGGAGGCGGATTTCCCAGTTTGGCCACAATACACGGCATCACAACTGTGAGGTACAGCGATCCGTTATGGTCAACAAATGCTTGGAGCATTCATAACTGACGCGCACCACCGACTTCGTAAATTCACAGAACAGAAAGAACAACACAGGCAATTTTGCATTGACCGACTTCCTCCCCAGGTATTTGAAACCCTACTGG